CATGCAACCATCTTAGAGCATCTCTAGTACACCCGTATAAGTGATCAAACCCGCATAATTTTTGCGTTTTACGGTTTTGGTCGAAAAAAGTGTTCGGAACAGAAACTGTAAAAGTGTCCAACCCGTAAAATTTTGAAGGGCCACCGAAAACGCACATCCAAAACCCTTATATTTGGAGGTTGGAAGGCCGAATCTAAGGGGCCCCGTATACCGCTCAAACCTCATCGGAGCAAACACGCCGCCGCATAGTTTGCCGGAATCCGCCCTAAACTCGTCGGAATTCATTACCGCACGCCGGAAAAGGCCGCTAGACGCCGCAATCGATCGCCGCTAGTTCGAATTGGACGAGGTCGACATCGCTGTGGCCCCCCATGGCCTCAGCCTGGCCGCTGGAATCTTCCCGGCGCGGTAGGCAAAGCGGCACGGCTCGACCGGGCGGCTGGCAATAGAGCAAGGCGCGGACGGCGGAGGCGACGGGGCGTGGCCGGCGGGGACGGGGCGTGGCCGGCAGGGACGGGGCACGGCCGACGAGCGGCGGGGCACGGCTGGCGGGCATGGGGCGCGATCGACGGGGTTGGGCGCGGCCGGCTGGGGAAAGGGGCGGCAGCGACCGGATTTGAGGAAGGAGCTCTTTATCCCAATTTTATAGTTTGTTTTACAGTATCTATTCGGCCGTAGCTAAAATGAACCCTTAAAATGCATTTTTTTTTCTGACCTGTATCCCAGTTTTACAGTTTGTGACTGAGAAAAAGGCTTTCGCCCCGCTATATAGATATAGCAACCGCCCGAAGAACAAAGAGTCCAAGGGGCAAACAGCATAAGCATGTCCAAAAGAAACAAAAAAGAAATAAGAGAGAAAATAATGTTAACAACGTCGGATCGACGAAGACGATGATAACCCGAAACCGTTGCGCCCACCAGAGATGTACCACCTCGCTCCAGGCACCTCGAACCTCCGCATACCAAACAACACCTTCAGGAAGGAACACGACGACAACGGCGATGCTGCTACCCGGACAGGTCCTAGGGTTTCCCCCGTATGCGGAGGGGCGTGGGGAAGGGGAAGACCCGACGCCCTTCAGGAAGGAACGATGGCGCCCACGGGCGTCACCGCATCGGTGCCGACAAGCCGGCACAGATTTCTCCCATCCGCCAAACACCCACAACCCCGAAAGGTCCGACGCGCTCCACCAGACAAGCCACCCACGAACGTGCGCCACTACGGTCTTGCCACCATCACCGCCGCCTCACCATGGTCATCGAAGCGAGACCAACGAGGACGAGAGGGAGCAGCCGGGAACGAGGAGCGGCAGCGACAGCAGCCATGTCGGAGGAGACAACCTCCACCGCCATCGGCGGTCACCGACCAGACGCGACAAGGGGAGCGTACCAAGCACTTGAGGCCCGGCCGAGCCCAAAAGGGGCTCGTGAAGCACCCGTCGCCGAGCTGCAGTAGACGAGCCGCCGTCTCCACAACCCCCCGCACGAGCCGCACAACCACCGCCCTCGCCGGAGCCACCGCAGGGGAGACCAAGTCAGGCCCGTCCACACCCAGATGGGGCCCAAAAGGGCACAGATCTGGGCCGGGAGGGCGCCGCCACCATCCACCACGCCGGCCCGCCGCCACTAGGCCACCGGAGCTGCGCCGCCAGGAGCAACCACCGCTGCCGGAACCACCGTCGACCGAGGAGCACCGCCGCGGGACGCCACCACCCGAGCCATGTCACCGCGCGCGGGAAAGGGAAGGCCGCCGCCGCCGCCAACACCACGCGTGTAGGGCCCGATGGCGCAGGCCGGCGGCGACGGGAGGAGGGGAAGGGGAGGTGGAGGCGCTAGGAGCGGGAAGATGGGCCCTCGGTCGCCTCGCTCGGGGAGGCGACGCGGGGGGCGGGCCGGAAGGGGGGAGGGAGGGGGGCGCGACGCGGCGCGCGCTTCCGGCGGCCGGAGGCGCGACAGGGGAGGGGAGGACGGCCGACAGCGGCGGAGGCACGGGAGAAACCCTAGGCGCGGGTCTCCGCCAGGGCACTGCTTATTTCACAGTCTGTGATTTTATGGGGTCTGCTAGAGATGTTCTTACTAACCAAAAGATCCAACAAATATATAGCACTCCGTCTGTCTCAAAATAAGTGTCTCAATTTTGTACTAACTTTAGTATAAAGTTACTAAGCTTGAGACACTTATTTTGGGACGGAGGGAGTACGATACAAGAACTCATAAAGAGATAAATAAAGGAAAAACTCAAAGCCACAACCGGCAAAATTTAGGACTAGGTGTCTATGCACCTATCCTATTGTTTGGACCACATCCAAACCGGTTATAGGTATGACATGCGACCGTCTCCCATGGGTTGCATCCATAAGCCATATGCTTCTTGGCTTCTGCACGACTGAGTAACGACCACGTACAGATCCAACCACTTGCCTTGTAGATAACCTGCAAAAAGTTTGTGATATTTTGTCTGTTAAAAATCACGTCATTCTGGCAGTTCCATATGGACCAAGGTAAGGCACACACCCCGACTCCAATATGCACAGCTAATTTAGGCTCTACCTCATTTAACCAAGTCCCAAAAAGAGTGTTTATGGTATCAGGTGAACTGACGTAAAATGCCACATGCATTGTGTGCCACGGTAGCTTGGCAAGTGGACAACAAGAAACATGTGTTGGATTGATTCATCTCGATCACAGTAACAATATCATTTACTATCCTCGCAATTACGTTTTGTCAGGTTATCTTTAGTCAAGATCACTTATTTGTGAACGAATTACATAATTTTTTTATCATTAAGGTCACCTTGATTTTCCAAATGTGTAGTGACTTTGGGATTGGACTAGTGTTCATCAAGTTTGTATACATAGACTTCACTGAGAATATCCTTGACACGGAAAGTCTCTAGTGTGGTGTATCTGGCTCATCAGAAAGGCTGACCTGCATCAGCCTGCGCATAAGATGTAGTCACATCGTTCCCCCAAAAGTGACCTTCTGAATTGTATGTTTAAGGGAACAGATTCCAAAATTGTACTAACGAATGTCTTTTTTTGTTGTACAATATTGTAGATGGTTGGATACATTATGGCCAGCGGCGTGCTCCCTAGCCAAGTATCTTCCCAAAACCTCGTTGAATTGTCATTCTCAACAGTGATTTGGTCTTATTGAAAAAGGCATTGTTTAAGACATTGTTTGGATTTGCTCAACCTTCATCCTTAGGATGAAAACACAGGATCCAGCCTTCGATGGTTGGTTCCGGCGAAGGCGGCGCCTGAGTGTAGTTCCATTCCTAGAGGCATTGTTGCTAAAAATCCTTTCTCAATGTCCTTGTGATGTGAAGAGATGAGTGGTGCGGATAATCGTTATTGTAGTTTGTCAGTCACTGTTTTGATAGCTTTAGAATCCTAACCCCCCTCTCACCCCCCCTCCCGGTATAGCTTCAGTCTTGCATGGCTTTGCACTTTGCCGACGTGATGCTTGATGTGTGTGTTGATGTTGACTATGTGCATCCTAGTCATGAAGAGAGCAGGAGTTGCTTATGTTAGCATCGATATATGTGCTAGAAGTGTCCTTCAAGTAGAATGAGGGGGTCCGTTGGTAGGTTCTAAAAAAAGTAGAATGAGGGGTCCATGTCATATCAATATCATATCATTTCCTCTCCTAACCCTAGCGAGAGGCGATCATGGCGGTGTCGTGCCACCCCTTCTCCTTCACCGGTAGGTTGTTGCCCCTCCTTCGCTGTCGACATGTCGGCATGGTACAATGAGGACGCCTCGATCTACCAAATGGAGATGTAAGGTATTTTTAGGTTGACCTTCATTGTTAGTCGCTTCGACCCTTCCGGTGATGGTGACGATAGCGTAGAGTAAAGCCATCTTCGGTGTCACATCGTTGATGTTGGCGACAGTGGCTGCCTGAGAAATAATTATTCCTCAAGCATTTTCATCTCGATGGTGTTTTCTGGCAGTGTCGATGGTTCACGGGTGTAGATTCTGGCCATCTGTTGTTGGACGGTGATGCTAGGGTCATAGGTTTTGTAACACAGCGGCGGCGTCATCCCTTCCTAGGTGGGTTTTCCCTCCTCATCTTCGTCACATTAGCATGCTCCCTGGTGTCTCGTGAGGCCTTTGAGATCTAATAGAGGTTGGGCTCTTGGATCTAAGGCTCTTTCGGTTGCGACAACTTCTTTTTCAGGGTGATGGTCCGATAGAACTGTGACCTTGATGACTTACCATTCGTGGTCAACAAAGGTAAGCTCACTCCAGCGTTGGAGCTGTTTGGGGTGGTGCGCCATCAGTTGTGTGAGGAAGAAGATGGTCAGCCCCCGGGGACTTCAATGTAACTTTTTATTTTTCAAGGCCTTTTGCACTACTCGTTTGGATAATAGATTTGAGTGTTTTTCGAGAAAAAAAAAACAAGGATACGTGTGTTGACATTTTTCTTCAGAATTAAGAAGTGCACTTTCAGTTGCAGGCTCCAAAATTTGAATTTCCAATTGCTCCTCTTCTACTAGTTAGTCAAGACATGCAAACCACCACCAACCATTGACTTCCACCTCCCCACAACAAGCCAATAATGTGATCTGCTTACTCGACAAGACATTAGAAACAAAGATATCATTTTCATACATAGGAACAGAGCTACTGAACCCAACTACTACAAGACAGACAGAATCTCTTGAAGGTGCCTGGTCTGTTGCATGCAACACTCCATCATAATGCTATCCCTCAACAACAGCAAAAACACTCCACGATGCTACTATGTTCTAGCCGATCAGAATTTTAGGAGGTACGTATACAGTGTAGTCAGATCTCGCACTCGATCATCATCTAGCTACACTTATTCGGAGCCTGGATCTCAATTTCCACAAATTTTACATTAGCATGCATAGGTACGTATAAAGTGTAATCAGACCGTAAACAAGCATCCTCGGGACCGCCAAAAGAATCTCTCGTAGGGAGCTCAACTGCTCGACTTAAAAACTACGCTCGCCCTTCTACCGAAACACATTTTACCTCCGGTGCTGGCCGACCGTCAGGTCCACCGCGCCGCGCCGCATGCCGTGGGAGGACAGCCGATGATCGTACCCACCTTTGATGTTCAGGTCCAGCAGGAGCAGGTCCTCGTCCGTGGCGCATTTCACGTCCTCGCCGTCGTGGACTCCGTGGTAGAGCTGGAAGCCCAGGTTGCCGGCTCTGAGGCTGTCGTCGGACAAGGCCTTGGCCAGCTCTCCGCCGTTCTGCTGGCACGCCTGCGTCGCGTCGTCCATGAACCCCGAGAGAGCCAGGTTGAAGTCGGTGAGCTGCGACCTGGTTGTCTCTAGGTTCGCGTCTGCGCCTGCCTCGTACGAGAGGTTTTTCTGGGCCTTCTCCAGGATCGTTTGCAGGTACTTCCCTTGCGCCTCGATGCGCATTTGCAGCTTCTTCTGAACCTGCATGTGTTGCATAGGAGAATACTGAATGGTTAAAACATTGTGCAACTACCTTGTGGTTCTGGAGGCAGGGATTTGGAGGAATGGGGCTCATGTTGATGATGGTTTGGACATGTTACCTCAAGCTGTTCGTGCAACTTCCTTTGGACTTCGATTTGATATCTTAATGCGTCCGCGAGTGGCGTTTCTCTGTTCCATGCAAAAGTGTTCAAGAAAAAAATCATTAATAAATAATGTACTTAGGGGCACCGCTTCAGAGTACAACCTACCAAACATAATTGATTTCAAAAATTTAAGACTATAATCTCAGGCCGGCGACATTTCATATGTTACTTGCTCGTTGAGTGTGAAGAAATACATAAACTGATTCGGTACACATAGACTGATCATGAACACTGATCCGGCATTTTGTGTTACTCGTCTATTTTAAAGTTGTTTCTGTGAAGTACTTTAGGTGATGTTGGTATAAAATTTCGTTGTATGAACATATTAATTAACACCTGATCTGCAGACATGCATGCATAAGGCCCATCTATATGCTTACACAGTCAACAGATTGATGTCCCTATCCCATGACCTCACCGTCCAAATCATTGAAAGTCCATCACAATCAAGTACCAATATTAGTTTTAGTATGTAAGAGTATAGCACGATAAATCGTCATATATAACTCCTATGTCAGCTAAAAGATGCTGCTAGTTCTCCCGTCCTGGTCATCATGGTTAATTAAACTAGAAATTAGACATGAACCACCACGCTCTTGGCATAAGGTTGACTCACCCCATGTTGTTGTTCCCGGCGGACGGAACGTTCTGAGGCACCGCAGAGGAGAAACTGATGCCCTGTGCGGCGAAGGCTGTGCAAAGAGCAGTTGTGGGCATGTGAGATTTGGAACAGGGAAAAGGGGAAACGAAAATCAAAATGCATCAACGTCGAATGCTTTGTCATGTTGTTTCTTTTCTTTTAAAAAGTTGTCATGTTCCCTAATCTAAGTGCTGCTTTTAGCAGGTACATGTACATGCATGCATACCTCCTCTGTTGGTTTCGAAGCCTGTATCTTTCTTGCTCTGCTTTCCCATCCTGTATTTCTGAGGTTTTGACGTGATCGAGAGTTAGGAATTAGCACTCAATAAAAACAGCAACGATATATGTACAGCTGTTCTTTTGTAGGGAATAACTAGTTTGCAGTGATGTTGAGTGGAAACCTGAAGATGGCTCTTTAGGTGGTACAAGGTGAGCCCTTTCATGCCCATCAGTCTCAGCACCGACTTGGGCGTCGCCTCTGTCGACAGCAAAGTCAAATGGGAAACCAAGTCAAATCAGTACTCGCATATACTACAAGCATGGATGGATCAGAACAGAAAACAATCACAAATGGGGCCACAGATCGAGTGATCAACTCCGTCTCAAAGAAAAAGGAAGATCGGGCGATCAACAGATGATCGTGATCATAACACACGGATCTTTCTCAAGACTCTGATGCTCAGAGAGTGGTAACCTCCGGTGATCCTTCACTCTCTATGCTGTACTTCATAAAAGTAAAAACCACGAATACATGTGCGCACACATGCCTGCATGCATGCATGCTCGGCCCCTTTGGCCTTTACAGGCTACAGCGGCCGGGTGGGGCGGGCAAATGCTCCGACAGGCTGCCGGACATGAACAGGAGCACGTGAGCTGGGCGATGGGGGCTGGAGCAGACCGGCTGCTGGCGGCGGTGGCAAATTACTTGCGCACATGTATGCATGGAGTGGAGAGGCTAGGCAGGAGCAGAGGAGGCGGTGCTTACTGTCGGGGCCGCCGAGCTTGGTGACGGCCTCCACGAAGCGCTCGTGCAGGTCGGGCGTCCAGCGCAGCCGGGGCTTGGGGTCCCGCGACAGCACCACCCCGGCGCCCACGCCGTATCCCGCCCGCTCCATCCCCTCGAACATGATGATCTCCAGCGAGTTCTCGCCTCCGTCCGTCGACCTCGATAGCGCCTCCGGCCGGCCGTTCTTCTTCGCCTCCTAGTTAGCAAGAAGCTAGCTAGCTATAGCTTCCTCTCGTTGCCGATCAACTGGTGGTATATCTCCCGACGTAGCAAGGGCGGCTGCCTGTGTGCGCGTGCCGCAGCTAGCTAGCTCTGCCTAGAGCGCGAGCGAGCGCGGCCGGCTCGCCCGGTGCGGTGCGGCGCGGCGCGAATCTGGTGCCGTGTGAAGTTGGCGTGGGAATTCGGCCAAGCCCGAGGAGGATTCGTGATGGGAATGTGTGCTGCTGGCTAGCTAGCTATATGGCCGGGCGTGGGCGGAGATAGAGACGCGGGGAGGAGGTGCGGTGCGGTGCGGCGATATGTAGACAGGTGGGGAGAGAGATGGGCGCCGAGGCGGGCGAGAGAGCATGAACCGAACCGGACGCCGGGCATCGCATCGCATCGCATGCCGCAGCATCGTGTGCTCTGCTCGGTCGATCATGCGTGCGGTGCGGGCGCGGCGCTTGGAATCTCGGGGAGCCTTGCGCTAGGGTGCAAAACAAAGGACAGAGCTAGACAACCGACCGAGCGCCAACCGGGCCGCGACGCGTGGAGGGCCGCCGGCGGCGTACGGCCGGCCGATCGGGCCCGGGAAGGGCGCGCGCCACGTGGTCGCCGCGGCCCCCGACACGAGCGGTTGCGCCATGTGTGCATGTGCGCCGCTGCCGCCGGGTCCCGGTCGTGCTACTACGTACGTAGCTAGCGAGGCGAGGAAGGCGCTGTCGTCTGTTGTTCCGATCGATCATGACGCGCCTTTGTTTTTTGCTAAAGATGATCATTGCTCACTTGCTAGATTTTGCCTAAAGATCGTTGGGTCAATGATCACGACAACACACATCGATCGCTCCATCGGTTTACCACCGAGACCAAGGAAGGTAGATGGATCAAAATACCGCATATACCAAAACGAGGCCAAGCCTCGCTCTCCTAGGTCGAGGAAATTAACAGCTTGTCAGTAGCGAATTCGTACGGTTTTGATCTATAGAAACCTCCACGGCGAATATTCCGGCGGCGGCGGCACCGGCACCGGCGAGTAGCCCGGCGGGGGCGGAGAGTGGAAGAGAGGCGGTGGAGGAGAGGCCGGGGCGAGAGAAACGCGGGGAGATGTTGGCGATGATGTCGCCTGGGCCCTCGCTCACAGGGAATATTCGCGCCAACTTGGTTGTAACCGCCGCCCCCCACACGCTTTGCTTTTGCGCTTGTTCTTTTCTGTCCTCGCCTCCGTTCCGTCCGGCCTCTACAGCGAACAGATGTCCTTGAGAAAAAAATAACAGCGATGAGCGTATGGATTGGACGGTACGTGACACAACACTGTGTATGTATGTGTGCGCGCCAAAAGTCTCTGAAAATGGTTTCGCCGCACGTCTAAGGCCCAGTTCTTTTGAACAGATTGTGAAGAATCTCGTCCTCGAAAATCCTAAGCGAAAAGAACTCAATTTGCCTTCCAAAATCTCGAGTGGATTCTGCAGAATCCTAGTGCAACTCAAAATCCTCGAAAAACATAGATTTTTACAAAATCTCAGGATTCTGGTAAGTCCCACCAAAGAAAACGTTTTGGATATGAGAGTACCCCTATTGGAGGGATAATTTACAGACAAACTGCCCCTTTTACACGACCGAACGGCCCAGCAACCGCTCGATCCCCATGAGCGCTAGGCGCCGCTCCGCCCGAAGCCGCCGGACGGGAGCTCCACCAGCCCGCCACCGGCCACCCCTAGCCGCCCAGCCTACACGCCGGTTCTCGCCTCAGGGCAGCCCCTCTCCTCGCGACGGCCCGCCTCGCCGCCGCCGGACGGGAACTCCGCCAGCGCCCCTTCTCACGCCGCCGCCGGACGAGAGCTCCATCAGCCTCGCTCCTCGCGGCCCCGCTGGACAGGCAGCCCGCCACCTCTGGTCGCCTCTGGCCGCCCTACCTAGACGCCCGACGGGAACTCTTCTTCTCTGTCTCGTCTCTCTTCTACCTCCGTATTCTTCCCTGTTTCTCTGTCAACATCTAGGTGAATAGATGGATGGATAGATGCATGTATTGATGAATAAATGGTACTGCTAATGCATTGATGTATGTCTAAATTTGTATTTGTCGCTTGACATTTTCAATTTGGTAATTCTACATGGTGCTTGGTAATTTTGGTATGTGCTGATGAATAGATGCGTTGATGGTTGTATGTTTTAGATGGAGAAAGTCGGTGCAGCTAAAGCTAAAGTGTTAATTCATCAAACATTTTCTGTCTAAGGGCACTATAGATATTTCGCCACACAACTGAATCCACAATCTTAAACTACAATCTCAGAAAAGAACTGGACGGCAGATTCTGTGGGAAGCAGATTCTGTGAGAAATTTCTAGAATCTTGATTCTGCAGAATCCACCACGGAAAGAACTAGGCCTAAGTCTGGACTCGAATGCGGACGCAACGAGAATATTTTTATTTTCGAGAGGAACAATTTGAATCCATCATTAACAAGGTGACGACATGGCGGTGAAGGATTTTTTGTATAGAGCGGCCGACACCGGAATGTTTTAATGATACGGTTATTGTGATGATACCTAAGGTCAACTCACCGGAGTTGATGTCTCAATTCAGACCGATCAGCCACTGTAATGTGTATTGTAACAAAGGTATTGGCTAATAGACTAAAGAGAATTCTCCCGGTGTTGATTGATGACCCATAAGTGTAGGGGATCTATCGTAGTCCTTTCGATAAGTAAGAGTGTCGAACCCAACGAGGAGCAGAAGGAGATGATAAGCGATTTTCTGTAAGGTATTCTCTACAAGCACTGAAATTGTAGGTAACAGATAGTTTTGTGATAAGATAAATTGTAATGGGTAACTAGCAATGAAAGTAAATAAAGTGCAGCAAGGTGACCCAATCCTTTTTGTAGCAAAGGATAAGTCTGGACAATTTCTTATAATGAAAAAGGAGCTCCCGAGGACACATGAGAATTATCATCAAGCTAGTTTTCATCACGCTCATATGATTCGTGTTCGATACTTTGATAATTTGATATGTGGGTGGACCGGTGCTTGGGTACTGCCCTTACTTCGACAAGCATCCCACTTATGATTAACCCTTATCACAAGCATCCGCAACTACAAAAGAAGTATTAAGGTAAACCTAACCACATCATTAAACATATGGATCCAAATCAGCCCCTTACGAAGCAACGCATAAACTAGGGTTTAAGCTTCTGTCACTCTAGCAACCCGTTATCTACTTATTACTTCCCAATGTCTTCCTCTAGGCCCAAATAATGGTGAAGTGTCATATAGTCGACGTTCACATAACACCACTAGAGGAAAAACAACATACATCTCACCAAAATATCGAATGAATACCAAATTCACATGAGTACTAATAGCAAGACTTCACCCATGTCCTCAGAAACAAATGTAACTACTCACAAAGCATATTCATATTTATAATCAGAGGAGTAATAATATACATTAAGGATCTGAACATATGATCTTTCACCAAGTAACCAATTAGCATCAAATACAAGGAGTAATCAACACTACTAGCAACCCACATGTACCAATTTGTGGTTTGAATACAAGATTGGATACAATAGATGAACGAGGGTTTTGAGAGGAGATGGTGCTGGTGAAGATGTTGATGGAGATTGATCCTCTCCCGATGGAAGGATCGTTGGTGATGACGATGGTGATGATTTCCCCCTCCCGGAGGGAAGTTTCCCCGACAGAACAGCTCCGCCGGAGCTCTAGATTGGTTCCGCCAAGGTTCTGCCTCGTGGCGGCGGAGTTTCGTCTCGTAAGCTTGCCCCTGATTTATTCCAGGGTAAAAGCCTTCATATAGCAGAAGATGGACACCGGAGGGCCACCAGGGGGCCCAGGAGACAGGGGGCGCACCCAGTAGGGGTGGGCGCGCCCCCACCCTCCTGGCCAGGGTGTGGGCCCCCTGAGGTGTTTATTCCGCTCAATAATTCTTATTAATTCCAAAAATAAGTTTCGTGAAGTTTCAGGATTTTTGGAGCAGTGCAGAATAGGTTTCCAATGTTTGCTCCTTTTCCAGCCAGAATTCCAGCTGCCGGCATTCCCCCTCTTCATGGTAAACCTTACAAAATAAGAGAGAATAGCCATAAGTATTGATATATAATGTGTAATAACAGCCCATAATGCAATATATAAAAGCATGATGCAAAATGAACGTATCAACTCCCCCAAGCTTAGACCTCGCTTGTCCTCAAGTGGAAGCCGAAATCGAAAAATATGTCCACATGTTTAGAGATAGAGGTGTCGATAAAAATAAAATACGGACATGAGGGCATCATGATAATTCTTATAACAACAACATATATAGATTTTATCATATGACTTCTTATGCTCAAGTAACAATCAATTCACAATGTCAAGTATGGTTCATAAACTTCATTGAAAGCTAACAAACTATAATCTCAGTCATTGAAGCAATTGCAATTTATCATAACATCAAAAAGAGTCAAGAATAGAGCTTTTCAGCAAGTCCACATACTCAACTATCATGTAGTCTTCTAAAATTGCTAACACTCACGCAATACCTGTGGTTATGGAGTTTCAGCCGGACACTGAGAAAGATAGGGGCTTATTGTGTTGCCTCCCAATGTATTCACCTTTAGGTGATGTCAACAATAATAGTCCATGCTAACTTACACCCAATTGGATATATATATCATGATCTTTCAAACACGAGGAGCTTGCCAAAGGATAAAATGAAAAAGGGAAAGGTGAAGATCACCTTGACTCAAGCATAAAGTAAAAGCATAAAGTAAAAGATAGGCCCTTCGCAGAGGGAAGCAGAAGTTGTCATGTGCGTTTAGGGTTGGATGCATGAAATCTTAATGCAAAAGAACGTCACTTTATATTGCCACTTGTATGTGAACCTTTATTATGCAGTCCGTCGCTTTTATTGCTTCCACAACAAGATCG